CATAGTGGATTGGGTAGGGGTCCTACCCAATGAGACGAAAGGTGACGCTTCAGGGGCAGTTGGTCCTTATCTACGGCGGAGGACCTTATCAAACCCACTTCCGTTTCGCTGTCGCACCTCTGTATCAGACGTGGAGGGGAATCCAGTAGCAACGTGCTAGATATGATACATGCTGGAGTGAACCTCTTTCCAGGCAGCCGTATCCTCTTATCATCGTATCGTATCTTCCATAGGGTTACGCTCGCAATCACTATCTATCTCCGACCTTATCGCTTGATAACGCGGAGTTCGCCGATGAACGTGGACGCCAGCGTGGTCGCCACTTCTTATGTTCTTGACTAGGGCTAGCGCACCGTTCCACACCATTAGGGTCGAAGGGAGAAACCCTGCTGGGACTGTTGCTTTAAGATCAACTCGGGCTCATCTCGATACACTCTACTCCCAGTTTCACCGCTCATTATTCTGAATAAGTCGAGTGCATCTGCTAGGTCTTGGAATCTCGCGTTTGAAAAAGCTTCGCCAAACTACTCTAACGCCTTTTCAAGGTCATATGCTAAACTGACTTGTTGACATTGTAGTCGGTGAGATTTGTTCAAAATTTTTCATACATCTGAAAGCTGCTTTCTCACTTATCCGGCTTCTATGAACACTCAATATTTGGGCGGATAGAGTTTTTGAGAACTTTATGAAGGGTTACTGCATGCTCGAGAATGACAATGGTCCTGCCCATTGACTATTTATTCAGTTCTCCGAATTATTCGATCGCTGAAAAAAACTGGTAGAGTATTCTTCATAAGGCCGATGACATAGTTTGCGAATCGGCTAAAGCCTAATGTGAAGCCTGAAATCCAATTATGAAGGATTCTTCCCGTAATCAATGGTTATCTGAGGGGTCATCCGCAGAAAACTTCTCCAACCAAGAGGGCTACTTTCAGACGTGGATTTTTAGACTAGGCGGCAATGCGAGTATGGGATCTCTTTACTGTATGAAAACGCTCGGCCACATATTGTGAAATGTATTCCCCAAGTTATTCAGCATCTCGCATTGAAGTTTCACCACATTCATCTCATAGCTGGGATTTCAAAACAGCACAATATTTCCACGAACACTTTGATCAGCAGCCAACTAAATCCTATATGTAGCTCGAGAAACTCCTTCTGTGCGTCGGCCGAAAGTCATTTATAATTGGTCATGATGATAATCACCGGTCACTGCGATAGCTCCATTTTCGCACTCATTCATTCTTCAAAATGCGCCACCTTGGCTGCGCTGTATCGATGCGAACAAATGGTAACCAGAACGCGCTACGTGCCGTCACTCGCTGGGCTGAAAGCCATCTGAACAGCAAATGTTTCTTTGGGTGACCGCTCACTGAACCACCACAGAGATAAATTTCCATTTCCATGGCTCCGAAATTCGAAATAGCCGCTACGTCGTAATCCATGTTGTGTTTTATAGGGCGCACACGAGATCTCTCGTTCGCAAGTTCTAGTCGCCATCAGAGGGCCGAGTGCAGCAAACGCCAACTCGGGGATGGGTCCCCAAAACTCTGCGTCTCTACTCTGGTCGATGACGCAACTCTCATGGTCAAGAATAGGGGAAGCGTCCAGAGATGCAGAGTTTTGGGGACCCATCCCGAGTTGGGGCTTGCTCTACCCGGCTCCAGATCACTTTGTAAGGCCCTCCGTCATTGTACACTTTCAAGCCGCATTCGCACACGAGCCCTGAACTACTCTATCCCACACACAGAAAAGATTTTCCAACACGACCTCATCTGAGGTTGTGCTTCAAGCTTTACGATGCTGGAATAGCTCTGTCCATGATTTGGTAAAGGCAAAAGTCGGGCTCAATAAGGGGGTATTATGGCGATTGAAACTGAGTATAGAGATGCGAAGTGGAACGACAGTGGAGAAAAAACTGAGAAAAACCGTCGACAAGGCCGTTAACAAAACCCTCTTTCCCACTAGCAGTGAAGGAGGCTGGCTTGGGAAAGAGGCACGTTTTAACTTAGTATAACCTGTGAAATACCTAGGTTTTTTTGATACGGAGCAACACCTACTGATTTCACACGTTATGCCAGCCCACGCACCACTTCCCGGAGATGGTCCGGTCATGGAATTGATCAAACCGAATCGCCCACGTGGCCTTAACGGACTTTCAAGGTGGAAGTATGCTTGCTAATTGGCACTACCCACAATACAACACTCCGGCATGAAATAACTCTCATAACGTGCCTGAGCCCGACCTTTGCCTTTGAGAGCACCCTTTTTGCATTGACATAAACCA